CCTCCAAAAGGCTCCTAGGAGAAGGAGTCGCAAGTCCAGGCTAGCAGCCCGACCCCCAGAAGCCATGCTTTGGGCTCCAGTACAGGCCCCAGCAGCCATGGTTCCGTCTCCAGAACCGGCCCACACAGCCATGGTTCCAGCCCCAGTTCTGGCCCCAACAGCCATGGTTCCGGCTCCAGAACCGGCCCATGCAGCCATGGTTCCAGCCCCAGTTCTGGCCCCGGCAGCCATGGTTCCGCCCTCTGTTCCGTTCCAGCACGCCATTTCTCAGGAACATGAGCAGGCGTGGCGAGACTTTGAGGAAAGCCAGCGGTCCTTGGCTCTATGCTTCCCGGGCCTCGCTGCTCGGGTCTCGACTTTGACGTCTTCTGCTGCATTTCCTGCCTCCTCCAGTCCACCTGTGGATTCCACTCCAGCCCCTCGTGTCCTGTCGGTGGTCCGGCCGACTCCAGCACCTCGTGTCCTGTCGGTGGTCCGGCCGACTCCAGCACCTCGTGTCCTGTCGGTGGTCCGGCCGACTCCAGCACCTCGTGTCCTGTCGGTGGTCCGGCCGACTCCAGCACCTCGTGTCCTGTCGGTGGTCCGGCCGACTCCAGCACCCCGTCTCCTGTCGGTGGTCCGGCCGACTCCAGCACCCCGTGTCCTGTCGGTGGTCCGGCCGACTCCAGCACCTCGTGTCCTGTCGGTGGTCCGGCCGACTCCAGCACCCCCGTCTCCTGTCGGTGGTCCGGCCGACTCCAGCACCCCGTGTCCTGTCGGTGGTCCGGCCGACTCCAGCACCTCGTGTCCTGTCGGTGGTCCGGCCGACTCCAGCACCCCGTCTCCTGTCGGTGGGTCCGGCCGACTCCAGCACCTCGTGTCCTGTCGGTGGTCCGGCCGACTCCAGCACCTCGTGTCCTGTCGGTGGTCCGGCCGACTCCAGCACCTCGTGTCCTGTCGGTGGTCCGGCCGACTCCAGCACCCCGTCTCCTGTCGGTGGTCCGGCCGACTCCAGCACCCCGTGTCCTGTCGGTGGTCCGGCCGACTCCAGCACCTCGTGTCCTGTCGGTGGTCCGGCCGACTCCAGCACCTCGTGTCCTGTCGGTGGTCCGGCCGACTCCAGCACCCCGTCTCCTGTCGGTGGTCCGGCCGACTCCAGCACCCCGTGTCCTGTCGGTGGTCCGGCCGACTCCAGCACCTCGTGTCCTGTCGGTGGTCCGGCCGACTCCAGCACCCCGTCTCCTGTCGGTGGTCCGGCCGACTCCAGCACCTCGTGTCCTGTCGGTGGTCCGGCCGACTCCAGCACCTCGTGTCCTGTCGGTGGTCCGGCCGACTCCAGCACCCCGTGTTTTGTCAGTGGTTCGGCCCACTCCAGCCCCTCGTGTCCTGTCGGTGGTCCGGCCGACTCCAGCACCCCGTCTCCTGTTGGCTCTCCGGCCGACGCCAGCCCCCCGTGTCCTGTTGGCTGTACGGCCGACGCCTACCCCATGTCCTGTACCGTTGGAGGTCCCGCCGACTACTCTTCTGCCGGGGGTCCTGCCAACCCTATGTCCTGGGATGTTGGAGGTCCCGCCGACTACTCTCCTGCCGGGGGTCCTGCCAACCCTATGTCCTGTGATGTTGGAGGTCCCGCCGACTACTCTCCTGCCGGGGGTCTTGCCAACTCCATGTCCTGTCCCGCCGACTGCTCTTCTGCCGGGGGTCCTGCCGGTCCTGTGTCCGGTGCCATTGGAGATCCCGCCGACTACTCTTCTGCCGGGGGTCTTGCCAACTCCGTGTCCTGTCCCATTGGGGGTCCCGCCAACTACTCTTCTGCCGGGGGTCTTGCCAATCCTATGTCCTGTCCCGTTGGGGGTCCCGCCGACAACTCTCCTGCCGGGGGTCTTGCCAACTCCATGTCCTGTCCCGTTGGGGGTCCCGCCGACAACTCTCCTGCCGAGGGTCCTGCCAACTCCACGTCCAGTATCGTTGGAGGTCCTGCCGACACCTGTTCCGCTGTGGGTCCTGCCAACCCCTTGTCCTGTCCCGTTGGGGGTCCCGCCGACACCTGCTCCGCCGGATTTCCTGCCAACACCAGATCCTGTCCTGTTGGGGGTCCCGCCAACACCTGTCCCGCCGGGGGTCCTGCCAACTCTGTGTCCTGTTCCGTTGGGGGTCCAGTCGACACCAGCCCTTGCTCCATCCGGGGTCCCATTGACACCAGCCCATGTCATGTTCAGGATCCCGTCTACGCCTGTCCCGTCGGCTCCGGTTCCTGTCCGGCCGATACTGGGTCCTGCCCGGCCTCCGGAGCTGTCCCGTCGGCGCCTTCCTGCCCAGCCTCCGGAGCTGTCCCGTCGGCGTCTTCCTGCTCGTCCTCCGGAGTTGTCCCGTCGGCACCTTCCTGCCCGGCCTCCGGAGCTGTCCCGTCGGCGCCTTCCTGCCCGGCCTCCGGAGCTGTCCCGTCGGCGCCTTCCTGCCCGGCCTCCGGAGCTGTCCCGTCGGCGCCTTCCTGCCCGTCCTCCGGAGCTGTCCCGTCGGCGCCTTCCTGCTCGTCCTCCGGAGCTGTCCCGTCGGCGCCTTCCTGCCCGGCCTCCGGAGTTGTCCCGTCGGCACCTTCCTGCCCGGCCTCCGGAGCTGTCCCGTCAGCGCCTTCCTGCCCGTCCTCCGGAGCTGTCCCGTAGACGCCTTCTTGTTCGCCCTCGAGCCCGGCCCCCTGAGTGCCGCGGTCTTCGCCCTCGAGCCCGGCCTCCTGAGTTCCCCAGCCGTGGTTTTCGCCCTCGAGCCCGGCCCCCTGACTCTTCCAGCCGCTGCCTTCGCCCTCGAGCCCGGCCCCTTGAGTTCCCCAGCCGTGGTCTTCGCCCTCGAGCCCGGCCCCCTGACTCTCCCAACCACTGCCTTCGCTCTCATGCCTGGGTCCCCGAGTTCGCCCGCTGTGGCCTTCGCCCCTTTTTGGACTCTGCCTTGCTCCCGGGCCGTCCGCCCGGGACCCCTTCCGGGCCCGTCCTCCGGACCCCCTCCACCCACCCTGTTGGTCCTGGTTGTGCGTCCCTCCTCCAGACCCCCTCCACCCACCCTGTTGGTCCTGGTTGTGCGTCCCTCCTCCAGACCCCCTCCACCCACCCTGTTGGTCTTGTTTGTGCGTCCCTCCTCCAGACCCCCTCCACCCACCCTGCTGGAATGTTTGGGACTTTTTGGGACGTCTGGGATCCGTCCCTTGAGGGGGGGGTACTGTTACGATCTGTCTGTGTTGGGTTTTGTCTTGTCTTTTTCTGTCTTTGGTTTCCTGTTTTGTTTTGAAAAGTGTTCACCCCTGTCCTGCCTGATTGCCCGATTGTGTTCACCTGGTGCCCCTGTGTTTTCTCCTCCCTCCTCACCTGTGTCTTGTGTGTATTTTAGTTCTGGTTTTTCTGTCTGTCATTGTTGGTTCATTGTTTGTAGTTGACTGTGTGTCACAGGGTAGTGTTCTGTGTTTCTACTTTGTACCTTGGAATAAAGGATTATTCTTGAAAATCTGCATTTGGGTCCTGCCTGCTTACTCAACCCTGACACGAGGTCCGTGTGCCCCAGGCGCAGCGGCCGTCCTAAGATCCCCACCCTGCTTCAGAAACCTCTTGGCGGGAAAACCTTCTGAACATCCACCTCTCCACTCCTATTAACTTAACATAACACACTTAGCAGCCGTCCTATCTATTCACCCAGATCCCGTGTTCGTTGACTATCTCCTCTCAGGGCTTTCCCAAGGCTTCAGGGTAGGGGTCCTCTCTTCCCCCACTGTGACCTTCATTGCAAAAAACCTGCAGTCTATCATCAAAGAACCCGCAGTTGTTTCTCAGCTCATAGAGAAAGAACTCAGCAAAGGGTATATCATCGGCCCTTTTCACTCATCCCCATTCTCAATGTTTCGCACTAGCCCAATAGGAGTAGCCACTCGCAAATACTCAGAGAAAAAAAGGCTAATTTATGATCTGTCTGCTCCCCGCTAGGGCCCCTTTTCCAGCGTCAATAGCCTCATCCCATCAGAACCATTCTCCCTTCACTACGCCTCGGTCGACAACGCAATTAAGCTAATTAAATTTGCAAGCCAAGGAGCCTGGCTCTCCAAAGCAGACATCACCGATGCCTTCAAAATCATTCCCATTCATCCGTCCCAGTGGAAAATGTTCGGCATCAGGTGGGAGTCCAAGCTCTACTTCGCCGTCCGCCTCACTTTCGGGTGCAGAAGTAGCCCATGCATTTTCAATTCCTTCTCCGAGGCACTCTGTTGGATCCTGCTGAACGTCATCAGAATCCCATCCGTTCTTCACCTGCTGGATGATTTTCTTCTTATAGATCCCCCATGGGAAAACTCAGGTGCTTCACTGCTTAAATTGAAACACTGTTTCCAAGAGCTAGGCGTCCCCCTATCCACGGAGAAAACCATAGGCCCCGTCTGGAGTTCCTGGGCATCACTCTCAACTCCATAGAGATGAAAGCGTCTCTCCCAAATGACAAACTGCAGCGCATACGCGACATCACTAAGTCCTACTGTGCACAACACATCATTACTAAACAGCAGCTGCTCTCCCTTCTCGGGCACCTTAATTTCGCCATGCGCGTCATCCCACAGGGACGCTCATTCATCTCCCGCCTCCTGGACGCAGCATCAGCTGTTAAAAACCTCCACGATCATGTCCCTTTAGACCAGTGGTCCCCAAACTAAGGCCCGCGGGCCGGATACGGCCCGCCTCCACATTTGGCCCGGCCCCCTGAACAATACCAGAGACGCATTATGATTTTTTTTTCAGTCTGGCCACGCGAATCCTAGACTAGCCCCTGTCAAATAGAACAGAATAATGGCGAAAAGGTTAGGTAAGAGAAAAATTGATTCAGAATGCAGGGTATTTAACCTGCAGTGGTCAAACGATTATTTTTTTGTTCAATGGAAAGAAAAGGCTGTTTGTCTCATCTGTCAAGAGGCGGTGGCGGTATTCAAAGAATACAATCTGCGCCGACACTATGAATCCCGTCACAAAGACAAGTATGATAACTTGCAAGGCCAAATGCGAGCAGACAAACTCTCAAAGCTAAAAAGTGGACTTTTAGCTCAGCAGAATACATTTGTACGCCAAGCTCAGCTGAACCAGTCATCCGTTCGGGCCAGCTTTCGGGTTGCTCAACTGATAGCAAGCAGCGGTAAACCTTTCACTGATGGAGAGTTTGTCAAGAAATGTTTGAATGCTGTCGCGGAAGAGGTGTGTCCCGAGAAGAAAGATGTCTTTAATGCCGTGAGTCTGTCGGCGAGTACAATCACCAGACGCATTGAAGAAATCGGGGGTAATGTATATGCCCAGCTGCAGCAGAAGACGAAAGAATTTGACTTTTTTTCATTAGCACTGGATGAGAGCACGGACGTGCAAGACACAGCGCAGCTGCTCATTTTTATTCGCGGAGTTAGCGCAAACTTTGAGATGTGCGAGGAGCTGGCAGCCCTCCAAAGTCTCAAAGGGACTACAACGGGGGAGGATATTTTCGGCAAAGTATGCCAAACCATGGAAGAGTTGGACCTAGACTGGTCAAAGCTTGCCAGCATCACGACTGACGGGGCTCCTAGTATGGTGGGCGCGACTCGGGGTCTAATAGGACGCATGAACCGGGAGATGGAAGAACGGGGTCTCACCGCCCCGCTACAAATCCACTGCCTAATTCACCAGCAAGCACTGTGCTGCAAAGTGTTGAAGTGGGATTCTGTCATGAAGGTTGTGGTGTCATGCATAAACTTCATCAGAGCAAAGGGACTTAAACACAGGCAGTTCCAACAATTCCTGTCTGAACTGGAGTCTGCGCACGGCGATGTGCTGTACTACACAGAGGTCCGATGGTTGAGCCGGGGCAGAGTTTTGAGGCGTTTTTACGAGCTGCTACCCGAAATTAACGCATTTCTTCATTCAAAAGACAAAACGGTCCCAGAGCTGATCGACCCAGAATGGAAATGGCACCTCGCATTTTTAACAGACGTGACAGAAATGCTGAACAGCCTTAACTTGCAGCTACAAGGGCAGGGGAAACTCATTTGCGACATGTATTCTCACATAAAAGCATTTGAGGTGAAACTTGCGCTGCTTTTGGAACAAGTGAAAAAGCACAACTTCATCCATCTCCCTGCTACCCAAAACCTCTCTGCAGAGAACCCAGCGGTCCCGTTCCCAGCTGAAAAGTGTGTGGAAGCACTGGAAATGCTGAAGGCGGAGTTCGGTGTGCGATTCCGGCAACTACGTGTTAATGCAAAAGAAATCCGTCTTTTTCAGAACCCCTTTCTTGCCGACATCGATGAAGCCCAGCCTTCTTATCAGTTTGAGTTGGCCGAGTTACAGAACTGTGATGTTCTGAAAGACGCATTCAAGCCCAACAGTCTCATTGACTTCTATGCCGCCCTCCCAAACGACACGTACCCTAACATAAAAAAAACACGCAATGAAGATGTTTACACTTTTTGGCAGCACGTATATCTGCGAGCAAACCTTTTCACACATGAAACACCTGAAAACTCAGATGAGATCAAGATTGACAGATGAACATCTGCATCAGTGTTTGAGACTGGCTGTGACTAGAATGGAACCTGACATTCAACTTCTCACCAGCCAGATGCAGGCCCACAGTTCACACCGATGAACATACATAGGTAAGATCACTTTTCTGAGTATAAACAAATTTAATCATAATAAAATCTACTGTGATAAAATCCATCTCCACAACCATACTGGTAGTGAAATGTATTGTGCTGTGTAGGTGCTGTATCACTTAGTTCGGTTTCTCAGCCTGCTTGCTTTGTGGTTTTGCAAACAGCGGTGTCTACAAGCCTACTGGAACCTACAAAAGGATTATAAGGAAGGAACACAAGAACTTTGAGAGACTGCTCATATGAGTCATTTGAGTAAGAGATTCTGCTCTGACAACTAAGCTAAACTTTTACCTGTTAAGATTGTGCACGGCACAACAGAAAGTTAATGTTCAGTGGACTTTTTTTCTGTGAAGAACCCAGAGAGGGTTATTTGGTTATTATTTATTTCATTAATAGTGTTATTATTTATTTCCTGACTTTTTTTCTGTGAAGATCCCGGAAAAGGTTATTAATATTTGGTTATGTGTGGCTTTCTGGAAAACAATAAATGTTTACGTTTAGGCACCCCTGCGATCGTCACACTTTTTCTGTTACAAACTGACCCCGGCCCCCATCAGAGAAGGGAAAGGTTATGTGGCCCTCACAGGAAAAAGTTTGGGGACCCCTGCTTTAGACGAAGGATGCCGCTCAAACCTGCACTTCTGGTCCCTCCTGCTCGACCAATGGAACGGTGTCACTTTTTTCTACAACGACATAGTGCACTCCTCAGACTCAACAAGGCTTTTCACGGATGCCGCCCCATCCGCTGGTTTTGGGGGTTTCTTTCAGGGAGAGTGGTTCGCAGGTCCCTGGCCCCTCTCCTTCCCTAATCATGCCACATCCTCTGCCCTGCACGAGATCTACCCAATCGCAGTAGCTTGCTATGTGTGGGGCTACCTCTGGCTCCGGAAACGCATATCAGTGCTATGCGATAACTAAGCAGTGGTCGGGATCATTATACCGAACACGTCAATGAAACACATTTCACCCATGCACCCCGGTGTAAGATAGTGCAACAATGTGTCTCATTTGTATGTTAATACACCGCTGTGCTCCTGTTCCTTATTTTATTTTTGGTCCCAATGATTAGGTTGATTTGGTTAACCCCAACACAAATTGAGAAAATGTTCGCTCTCATTACATCGCTGAACTACTTTGATAGCAGTAATAACTTGATTTCATTACATGCCCAGATAGATAGGCATTGTGAGTTGAGGCATTCACGGAAGGAGAGGAAGAGCTAGAGTTAAATTCATTAAGTGAAGTGAAGCAGCGGAAGGCGAATGAATGATCTGAGGGACCTTCATCATCACAAGAAACCTTTTCCTTTAAAGAGATCCAGAGTTACACAAGCGTTTTTGTTTCATCATTAGATGCTGGAAAAAAAAGATTGCACTATAAAATAATTCAACTGTCAGGGACAGGTTTTTCAGTCACACCGCTATCGTCTCTTTGCAACAAAACTCTTGACCTTGGACGAGAAAAGGATTTCAATTAACATCTCTCATGTAGTGTTTTCACAGCTGAGGACAAAAAACTGAAGAGTCAAGGATTGATTTGTTTCCATTATTAAACATATCACATCTCTGCAGTGTATTGTCTGTTGCCAGGCTTGGCAGGGTGTTTCACACACAGTGGAAAGTCATCTCTCCCAGGAGTGCGGTACACTGAAAATCCCCAGCATAACTAAATAGACTGGCCTTTGCCATTATGTTTGCTCCAACATAACCTTCAACGTTTCGCAGAGGCTCCTTCTCAGCAGCACGGACCCCCTGCTACTGCTCTGCAGAGGGGAAATCCTAACTCAGAGAAACATTTGGTCATTTTTAGAAGCTAGCAGACATCCCTTTGGCAGGGAAGTGTATCTATAGAGACAGTGTCATTAATCAGCAGCCATGTAAAACTGAGCTATTACAGTTTATCATTATTTCCAGACCAGCATAGAATTTGCTTCTCCATTAAATGAATAGTTAATAATTTTAGGAGATGATAAGATGATTAATACCACTTTCATATGTATCAATCAATTGCACTCTCATATTGAGCTATAACCAGGAAATGGTATGTCTAGGGCAAAGACTGGACACTGGGCTCCATTCGAAGATTAAAAAAAAAACACTGACCAGAACATTCAAAGCCTACAAATGTACATTCTGTACATGTATTTCATTTGAATCCAGAAAAATGTAAACATGTAATGTAGGGGTGTAACGGTTCACAGAATTCACAGTTCGGTACGTTCCTCGGTTTGGGGGTCACTGTTCGGTACGGGTTCGGTACAACAAGAAAAAAAAAAAATAATAATTCCAGGTTTGTTGGTATTTATTTTTGAACAGTAGTGCAAGTTTCAGTATAAAAATAAGGAACTCTAACATTTTGAATAATTAACTTTATTACAGTTAAAAACAAACCACAAACAGCACCACACACACTCAGATGGCCATATTATCTATGGCTGATGTCAAACAAAAAGGTTTCAACAAGCTGTAAAACTAAAAAGAATGTCTTGAAAATATTACAAAATAAATAATAAGAAAGTGTTTCAAGGGCGCATAGCCGTTGAAATATATATGCCAATAGCTTCCGTTATTTATTTTGGTCTCTCGGCTTTCATGTCTATTGGCTTCTTAAAAACAGCGGGGATAAGCTGTTGAACTGCTATTGTCTTTTGCCGGGCTCCGGTGATTGGCAAATCTGGCTGATGCCTACTAATATGATTTAGCATGTTTGGCGTGTGTTACCATTAGCATACCGCACCGCTGTCGAACAACGCCTACACACCGTCCTCTTCCGATCCAGCACTCGCACTCCATCCTTATTGTAGTCCACAGGGAACCCGAAATGTTCCCACAGCTGATTTAAAAGAAGCAGGTGGGTCTTCTAGCTCCTGTGTGTTATCTGAAATCGCCATACTAACTTTTCTTCTTCTTGTACTTCGTTAGTTTTGTTGTTGTGTTTCTTCTTGTTCTTCATTTGTTGTTTAAGGGCTGGCAAACTGCTTTTAGGCGCAATACCGCCCCCTGGATTATATATAGTGTAATGGATACTGCCCTGAGTCAGTGACAGACTTTTTTCCCACTCATAAAAAAGGCGTATTCGTCGTGTGACTGCATGTGTCGAACCGTGACGTCCAAACCGTGACGGTACGGGACGGATACCGTTACACCCCTAATGTAATGTAAATAACACTATGCAATGTTGTTGTAAGTGCAAGGTTGCTATGACAAGGGCAGAGAGGCATATTTTTGACAACTCAAAACCTTTAGTGGAGATGTTTGTTCCAAATGTATTTAATAGGAACACCAAAGCAGGATTACTGCCAGTATCAGCCAAATGTTTATGTGGAGCATTCTGCTACGATGTTGCCCGATTTGTATTTTTTCCATGCATGTGGATTTCCTTGTTTACATTACCGCCAAACTTCTGACTAATAAGAAAGACGTTCTACATGTAATTGCTAGCTCTGCTTCTTTGTACACGCCCTTCAGAAAATTACATTTTTAAAAAGTGCTCTGCTTTTATTTGTGCATTGTGAGGTTGAACAAGACTAAATAGAAAATCAACCAAAAGTAATAATGTCGCTTGGGACCAACCAAACGCACTATGACTTGTAAAAGTGAATGATTCCTTTAAGGCCTGGTCACATCAATGTCTAAAACAGTTTGGTTATGTGGCAAACTTAAGCAAAACTTGTTCGTTATTCAGCTTTGGTGAAGTTTGATATGTGAATTTGCGACATTGGCCAATGTGAGCCAATGCTAATTTGACTGTAACAGAGTCCAAAAAGGAGACGCTATTCTAAGTTGTTAGCTGTGTGTGTGTGTGTGTGTGTACCAGCCACTTTTGTGTATACCCTCCTGTCTTCCAAAGTGTCTAGAACGACAGGCCGAATAATTTCACCGTGCCACTGTCTGGAATGACCAGGCTTTTAATCATTCTGTGTTTCTCCTCTCTTCTGCCTTTCGTATAGTTTCTTTCTGTCTTTCTTACGCTCCTCTGTCTATCACATTCTTTCCCTGACTATCTTGCTCCAGGTTCCTATTTTCAAATTTCTCAATCTCTCACTGTCTTTGCCAGCCATGTCTGAAGCCAGAACAAACACATCAGTGAAATACCTGAGCTGTCTGCAGGGTTTGGCTGCACATCGCATACAAAAAATATGATTATAGGGCGTGCAGAAATAAAAGTCGAAATCTTAGCCCCCTTTGCTGCACAGTTCAAAAGAAGCTATGACAGGAAAATCAAAGAGGAGGGATATGACTGAGCCCGCAAGGTTTTGGTTCAATCTGTTCATCAGCATCATTCTGTGGTGCCTGCAGAAGTGAGACATAACAGTATATTATTATCTGTGAGATTTATTTTGGTATTCTGTCTTATTAATAGTTACTGATGGTGGGGATTTGAACATTGTTATGACCGGCTCGCGGGCCACAACAAAAAGAGAGGGAGGCGTAGGCGGGTTTCCGAAAAACCACGGCATATTTATTGTGGTAACTCAAAAACAACACAGCAGCGGGTTCTGCAAATAAGCTCCGATGGTACGAATGAGAGGATGGGCGAGGGGAAAGGTTCCCGGCGAGGGTTTCCCACAGCAGTCTTGGAGAGAGTCGCGAAGGCCCTGTGACTCTGGGCAGCTGGGCTTATGTAGAACCTGGGGTTCTGTCCAGGTGTCCCCAGTAATGCTGATTGGCCTCCTCAGCTCCACCCCCGCAACACACATGCATCCTAACTGGCACTTACCGGCCACAGACTCTGGGGCGGTCCCCAACGGAACCCTGGCACCTAAATTGACCATTCTTATGCCACCTATACATAAATGAAATATTTTACAAACTACAATCCACTGCACGACTTTGAAGAACATAATGCCCCCCAACCAAAAAATAAACAACTAAATCACTGGAAGGTATCGGCTACACTATCAACCTACTAACTACCATTTTTCTTCAATGATCTTTTTGTTTCTATTGTAGAATCCTGACCTTCCACTTACGGTATAGCAAGGAACTGGGTTTCAATACTCTATACTTTATATTAGCAGCATACAGTGGGGCAGGTATTGTCTTGAACAAAAGCTCCCAGACATTCCTTTGAAGAGCAACAACAGCAAATTGCTGAATTGTTGCCTCTCTATTGAGGCTAAGATGTCTTTGACCAATTTCTAACAAGTTTTGTTCTCCTTTTTTGAGCTTGCTATTCAATAACAGTCTTTTTTCTTAAGCCTTGATCCCAACATTATGTTTTATCCTTCAATTCGACAACGACTTTTGTTGTAAGAAAAGGATTTAATCGGATCATTAAGAACGAAAGTAAAGGTCAAGCCTCTATAAAGTTTGCTATATCAAAAGCCTTTTGCATGTATGCATGTGCTGCGTGTGCCAGCATGAAAATACCGTGTGGTCTGTGATGCTAAAATAATCTTATGGGAATGATTTGGACTATTAAAGATGTAGCCAATTCCGTCAAATTGCATTGATGACTAATGGAGCTTTATATCTATAGTCTCCCTTTTATCTCTTTGATGTTTAAAGATGAATGGTAGTAGAAGCTTCAAGGTTATAAAGAAAATAAATGTTGCATACTTAAAAGCATTGTCAAGCACTGTTTGTTATGCCTTTTCCATTGTATCTCAAACTAAGTGAGGTATTTAAACATCACGTTTTTACTCTTGCAGTGTTAAGATGGGAAAGATAAGAAACCTGTAACATCACGTCATTACTGTTAATGTTGCCATATTTTGGTTTATAAATGTCATGTATAGGTTTTTGTCAGGTTTATGTTATGTTTTATACATGTTGTTGTATATATTCTGTGTTTAGATTTAGTTTTTATGTTTAGTCATGTAACATTAATGAACAAGGATCAGCGCCGAA